TGAGAGAAAAAGTGGGTATTCCTCCTGTTTCCTCCTCCTGTTTTTCCAAAAAGACCCGGGAAGGTCCCAGCCCTGTCTCATCCAAGCTCCCCCTGAAATCAGTGCATCCAGTGAACTCCCTTGGATGTGCATGCTGGATGGATTAGTGTTCCTCAGGGAAGGGCCCTATGTGCATCCAGGGGAGACCGTGTGCCACAGGGTGTATGCAATGCTTTGGTCTGGCAAGAGCTGCAGGCAGTGGCAAGCTGGGATCGCGGATGTGGCTGGGCTGAGTTGTCACACCCTGCTATTCAGTGTCAACTCCGAACATCTTCTCCTTGTTAGCAGCTGAGGCAGTTGCTCCGTGCTGGATCTGAGCTGTTCTCCTATAAAGCAAAATGCTAACATGCTTTTCTTCCATGGGACAAAACAGAGAATTTTTTTCCTTGTGGATTTGCTAAAAAATGAATAGCATCCCAAGGTTTAAGTCACCTGAAACTGCAGGTACTCATGCTGAGGTTTCCATTTGCAGCCTAGTAGACTGGGAGAGTGGACCACTGAGATATGAGGTGCCTGTATCCTTACCGTTATGTTACTGGCCTTGCTCATTTTTTGTCTGGATGTTGCAGCCACTCCCCAACTGTACATTGCTATGGAGGGTTTCAGTTTTGGTGAAACCCAGGATGGGGTGGGGAGGGGAATAAGTGAATCTAGAATATTCTTAAACAGGTCAGGTGTGCCAAGTGCTGAGCATGACACAATTGAGATACCTTGGCATTGGGAGCTAAATCACTGTAGACCTGGTTGATAATGGAACAAGTGAAGAAGATAGTATAAAATGTTTCAGACTCTGCCTAGCTGTTACGGTGTGTTATGGAAAACCAGCTTTACAGATGTTACAGTCTGCCCACATTCCATCCACGAGCATGGAGGGACGGCTGCTGCTGTTAAGTATTGAATTTACCATAGCAGGTGTTTTATCGAATTGCTGTAATTTCTGCTGGATGTGGTGGTCACAGCCTCTGTGCATTTACTGTGAACTGGGGATGCGTTGGCAGAAGGAAGGAGGATGTGTCAGGAGTGCATTGCTGGGGATAGAAATAAGAAAGTCTAAGGACCTGGTTTCTGACCACAGCTCATACACTGTGAGACCAAAGGGGTCTAGCTTTTTGTAGCTTCTGTTTTCTGATAGCAGAGATTAATGTAAGAGTCTCTGGATGAAAATCAGCAGCCGTTGCTGCACAGGCAATTACCAGTAGTATCATTACAGTCCCTTTTGGCCTTGAATCCAGGATTAGGGGGAATATAATCTATTACATTTTCAGCCTACTTCTGTCAGTGGAGGTTTCTCATTTTTATGTGATAAAGAGTAAAGCTGCATGAGAAGTCTGTGTCCAGTCTTGCTCTGCATCACAAAGCCCTTTCTTGGCTTTGTTCAGCTGGTAATGCTGCTGTGGACTCTTTGTGTATAGGAACTGTAGATTGCAGAAGATAGACCTATTTGCAGCCTTGGTTGCTCCTAGCCCTTGATTAGAGTTCATTATAAGCACTTTACAGAGGGAGGCAAGTATTAGCATCTATGTTCGGCAGCTGGGGAAACTGAGACATGAAAGGAAGATGATGCACCCAGAGATACTTGGAGGTAAGAAGAAATGTCAGCCTTTCCCCTGAGTAACACTCCCCCTGTCCTGGACCCTGCTGAAATGACCTGTCCAGAAGGCAGCTTGCAGTAGTCCTGCACAGGGCGTCTGCATTTCCTAAGCCTTCAGTGGCATGGGCACCGAGTCCTCTCACCACCTAAAAGACCTGAGAACTGAAGTCTCCCTTTAATGTTAACAATCTGGCATTTTCCCTGAACAAGAGGCTTATGTTACAGACAACCTATTTTGTTGAATTGATTGCCTCCTTGTACTTAATAACTAATAAGCTAATCAACTGTCGGAATAAGTGAAGGAAGCATCCCTTATTCTTTGACTTGATACATGTATAGAGACCCCCCATCAGAATGAAGTTTTAAATCAGGGAGGTTGGAAGCTAAGGTTTCTTATGCAGCCCCATTGGCTAGTTTTGGCAAGCAGGGGAAAGAGCATGCTTGCCTTCTTGCTGGGTGTTCCTCCCTCATATCTCAGCCACTGCTCCAAGAGGCAAAACAGAAGCTGGGAGCTGCCGTACTGTTTATTTCACAAAGTGGCAGGTGCTGTCACTTCCTTTCTTTCTAAACTTACAGTGGTTTGCGGTAATGTTGACTCTCATAGTGCACTGGTTCCTAGCAGGGTGCAGATGTTTCTTGTCAGCTTTGGCCATCTTTCAGGGCTATAAATATTGCCTTTAATGAAGAGCAGTGGTGAAACAGGGTTGTGATTTATGAATGAGGCTCTGCAAGTTGGCATGGCTTTCGAAGCATTTGTACATGGAAGGCTCCATAGTTGTGTTAGCTCACCTTGTTATCCTTTGCTCTTGTCAATTTTTAGAGCTGGGAGTTTGAAACCAGTTGTGCCTAATTTGCGTGGACAAGGCATTGCTTGGGGCGTGTCAGAGGACTCTGGAATTTGCTTTCTTCACAAGTTTGGAGTAGACCAAATTTAGAAAATTTCAGACATTGACTAGTGCTTTTGGAAAAGGCTGAGAAGGCATTTCCCACAAAAACAGTATCAGGAGGGGCTTTTTTTATTTTCTAGAGTAGCTGGTGGTCAGTGATGTTAATGCTGTTGGAATTGTATTGACAGAGTTAACTCCCTGCTAGAGCACCTAGACTGAGCCCCTTTTGTTGTAGCACTTTATTATTTACACTGAAATAAATGCAAAATCAAATCCCCAGCACGTGTAGGAACAGGTTAGATGTCTGTTTTCTCCAGATACTTGATAAAAAAAGTTGTACCCACAGTGTGGATGTGTGATACTTTTGAGGTTCTTGCAGCACTAGGGGGATGGAAACAGAGTTGAAGCAGGCAAGTCTCCTTCCTGCAGGAGCACCACACACCTCCTTCTCTTAAACCATGCATGGGAAAAGAGGTAGGGCATGGGTGATGATTTGTGTGGAAGGAGGCATAGAAAATAGCAAAGATTTTTATTTTAAGCTCACAGTATATGAAAATCTCATCTTTAAAGGGTTAATAAGTGGACATTTCAGTAAATGGCTAGATAATTGTTACTGGAGCACAGCAATGGGTTGTTCTAACTGTGGCTTGCCAAGCCTGAAAATTACAGTGGTGTATGAAACTGTGGTATGTTGAAGTGTTGTGTTTAAAATCATCTTTAACTCATTCCACTCATATCTGCCCTGCGCATGACCCCTGCTGATCATTCATCAGCCCTGTGTAAACGAGGATTTAGTGGAAAGAATTTCTGTATAGGTTGTTGGTTTTTTTTAATAGAAATGCTGTCACATACACACACATACACAGAGCTGAGGTTTTGCAAGAATTTTCATGCTGGTGTCAGAGAAAAGCTTTTCCGAAGTTAAAAGCCTGCCTGTGTGCAGGGGTGTGTATGTGGGGGTGCGCTTTCTGGTATGGAGAGCTCTTGCCTCTTTGAGGGGAGAGGCAAAGCAGACACACAGCTCAGCCCAAGCTTTCCTGCTGTAGTAGATGTGGGAGGAATCTATAAATGCATGATTTATGTAAAGTGCCCTGGGATTGCCATGCTGAACATCCTGACTTTGAGCAGCCAGTGAGGGAAATTATTGCCACCACGAGGGAGCTGGAGGAAAGCAAGCAGTTTTCTAGGCTGGCCTGGGTGGCTTGTGTCTCTCTCCCATTCCCCAAACTGGGTTCCTTGCTCTGAGTCCTGCTTTTTCTAGCGGTGCCTCCCAATGGATGCCTGCTGCTCATGGGTGGCACAGAAGCCGCTCAGACTTCTTGCTGATGTTATTTTAGATTTGGGGAGTCATATTGTTTCCAGGACAACTGGGGAAGAATGAGGAAGGGACTTGTGCTGAGTCAGCTTGGAGCTACTGAACACCCTGGCTTGCTCGCTGCATTTTCCCCTGGAAGATGGCTAATGGCCTACTTTCACAGGGACCCCTTCAAGCTAAGCAAGTGATTTGGTTAAAAAATAGTAGTGCAAGAAGCAAATGAGGAGCCCATGTTGTCAGGTGCAGTTATAGGCTGATAACAGCAAACAGCTCTCTGTGAAGTGAGCACAAGTTGTGGACACGTGCCATGCTCAGAAAGTGAGTGCAGGGTAGAATGTGTTTCTGGGCTGGAAAGCCCATATTTGGGTCTCCGTGTTTAACTCTGTTGTGCTTTAAGCCCAGCCAGCAACTCAGCACCACACATCTGCTCGGTCACTCCCCCACCTCCCAGTGGGAAGAGAAGAGAATCAAAAAAAAAAAAAAAAAAGTAAAACTTATAGGTTGAGATAAGAACAATTTAATAACTAAAGTGAAATAAAATACAATAATAATAATTTTAATGAAAAGGAATATAATTTAAAAAAACCAACAACAACCAACCAAAAAAACCCCAAGAAAAGACAAGTGATGCACAATGCAATTGCTTACCACCTGCTGACTGATGCTCGAGCAGCGATCTGCCTCTCCCAGCGAACTCCCCCCAGTTTATATACTAAGGATGATGTTCTGTGTATGGAATATCCCTTTGGCTAGGTCAGGTCAGCTGTCCTAGCCATGCTGCCTCCCAGCTTCTTGTACACCTGCTTGCTCGCAGAGCATCGCACACTGAAAAATCCTTAACTTAGGATAAGTGCTACTTAGCAACAACTAAAACATCAGTATGTTATCAACATTATTCTCACACTAAATGCAAAACACACTGTACCAACTACTAAGAAGAAAATTAACTCTGTCCCAGCTGAAACCAGGAGAAACTCTCTTAACCTCTGATGACTCCTAAATAAATGTCCCTGTTCTACACAGCTCCTTCAATTAAGTAGAATTTGCTATATTGTGTAATCTTGCCTCTGTACCATTAATTGCCTTCTATTCTAAGAGGAATTAAATTCTTCTTGAAACTGTAATGTCATCTTATTTTTGTTCTTCCCATATTCTTTCTGTCTCATAGCAATGCTGAACTGCAGAATATGGTGTTAGACTCTGCTGCTGCCATGGGGAGCAATGAACTTCAGGAGAAAGATGTCACTGGAGCCCTTGGCCATGATCTCAGCAATGGCAGCAGCAGCAATTTGGAAGCAGCCAGGCGCCTGGCTAAGCGCCTCTACCATCTGGACAGATTCAAACGCTCTGATGTGGCAAAGCATTTGGGTAAAAAGTACGTGCTGGTATGAGGCCTTTGGCCACGTTGTTCTTCTTGCTGGTTCTGGAGGGGTTCACTCTTGAATGATAATCTTTACTTATTTATTTGTTTGTTTAAAGCAACGAATTCAGCAAGCTTGTGGCCGAAGAATACCTTAAATTTTTTGACTTCACAGGCATGACGCTGGACTACTCGCTTAGGTATGTGGCTGTTTGCAGACCCTATGTTCTTGTTTTAGTAATGGTACTGTTTGATGTGTTGTCCTGATTGAAGCGGTTGCTCTGTGGGGGTTTAAGAGGGTAAAGCAAGGGATGTGACTGGTTTTTGGGACAGAGCTTTTCTCTTCTGTTTGGCTTGGCGTGCTGCCGTACTCGAGAGTGCTACTGGAGCAGTGGCATTTCCTGGAGAGGGAAATCTTTGGGTGGACCTGCTTAGAGATGGTCCTTGATGCAGAAGAGATAGAGAAAAATGACCGGTCACTTGGTAAACAAGAGACTTGTAGTCTGCCAGGTGCTGCTGGGGAGTGAAGGTATTGCTCACAGCTGAGCCGTGGAGACTTTTTGTCTGATGCCTTTTGGAGCTTGCTCTGCCTAGCCGCAGTGCACAAAGCCAGGGCCAGGGTTTGATGTGGCTCGGCAGCCCCCCTCACCACGTCCCTCTGAGGCACCCAAAAATGTGCAGAACAGCAAAAGCTTCCATGTGGAAAATGCCATGGAGTTTGGTTGCTGCCAGAGTGGGTGTTTGAAAACCCAGCCCTTCAATTTTCCTTCCTTTTTACACTGGAATTAGGCCTCGACAATGTTTGTTTTCAGCATTTTTTTTTTTTTAGGAGGCAAAACACCAAGTTTGTATAGCGGTGGACTGTTAGCACAATTGCTGGGGTTCTGGTATTTAAAGGGGTTTAAAGCAAGTTTAAATCATCTGGCTGAGGTTACTCAAGTGGGTTATTGTTTTTTTTTTTCTAACGATACAAACCCAGGAGGTCTGGCAGGCACTTGCCAGTCCCCTTGCAAATGTATTTCCAGGGGGGTTGACTCCAGGAGACTGTGACAGCCCCCGAAGAAAGCCCAGAGTCCTGCCTGCCGAAGGTGGTGAAAACAAAATGTGTCTGCGGGAGAGTGAACTGACTGCTCCTGCAGCAGTGGAAGCAGAGCTGAGCTGGAGCGCCCACCCGGCACGGGGCGGGAGCAGCCGGGGCGGTGGGAGGTCTGCTGCTCGTTCCGGGTTTTAGTAGCCCTGAAGCATGGTGCTAAATATACCCCTCTTTTAAATTGTGAAATCCAACACCTAATTGCTTTGTGGCACATATTTAGGAGGTCTCTGCTCCCGGTAGATCTCCTGTTAATATTAATAGTTGTGACCTTCTCTAAAATATGCCCTGGCTCGTGTGGGACTTAGACGCGCCAGGGGTTTGCTGAGATTTCAGGAGAAGTTGCAGTGACTGCTGGCTGCATGCCCTGAGCAGGGGCTGGGGACAGAGCATCCTCCCGAAGCCTGGGGGAGCCAAGGTGTGCTGCCTCAGGCTCGCAGAGAGCGAGAGGTAACCACCCTGTTGCTGCTGGCTTGCTAACAAGCTGTGGTTTGTAACCATTTTGGAGCCCATGGCGGCAGCCCAGACACACGCTATCCCCAGGCTGTCGGGAGGCCGATGTGCAGTGCGTATCACCATCGGTTGTTCCTTCATTGTCCTGCTCTGCTTCCACACTCTGGCCCGTGCATCTCGCATCCTCTGCAGGATCGCAGGAGGTGAGGAGGTGGGACCGCTGCTCCAGCCCCTCTGAGAGTCCATCCTGGCCCTCCTGGTGGGCAGAAACTCACCTCTCCGAGGCAGCTTCCGGGGGGGGGGAAAGGCACTGAAGAAGAGGAGAGGGTGTAGGTCAGTGGTGCCTGGCATGGGCAGGAGGTGTTACTGGAAAGAGCCCGAGCTGGAGGAGGAGGAAAGATGGCTAGTTGTCAAAACATCCAATGGGGGCATGAGGAAGGAAAGGAAGAGAAACCCTGCAAAGACTCAGTTGTATCTACTTGTGAATTGGATTATTTGCAATATATTACCTATGAAATGAAGTTATTACCAGGCAGATCACACTCTGTATGCGTGTGAGATCGCTGCAAATACAGCCTGTCTCTGACCTTACATCAAAGAGAAAAAATTTACTTTTATTCGTCCAGATTAGATAGACGTGAATGTTCCAGCAACATATTCCACGCCTCTCAGGCCTGGTGTTAGTTTCAGTCTCATGGGGTATTTAAAAATTGTCTATTAGGCACTCATTTTGTATGGCGTCTTGCTTCAGACCCAGAAGGTTTGTGTTTTCAGGCTTTTCTTAGAAGCATCCTGACAAATGAGCGTAGGCTGATACTGCTGAGGTCATCTTTTGGCTCCAGGATGTGGGGATTTTGGGAAGTGCAGAAGTTCTTTGGCTGTGAGGCGAGTTTTCCTAGCAGGAAGAATAGTGGCATGGTTGAGAGGCGGTGTGGTTAAGTGTCAGAGGAAGAGTGGAATATGCATGTGTGTCCCACCTCTTTGCACAGGCTCGCTATCTGTGTCTAACGAGCATGCCCAGGTGTGCACCAGCCCTGTGCCTTTGAATGTCATGAGCAGGAACCCAGGAAGGCCAGGTTGCTCCTTCTGCTGTTGAAGCTTGGTGGGAGATGTTATGACTCTTCTGACTTCTTCCCCAGATGTGTTCTGCAGGTCAGGTAGTCACGCTGCCCTCTGCAAGGCAACCTTTGTGGTCCTGGGCTGTTCTGATGGGTGACCATCCAGAAGGAGGACCACACATTTGGTGTGGGCTCTGAGTCTGCAGTGCATCTGCTTACTTCACTGCCTGGAGTAGCTTCTCTGATTTGGATGGGAATACTAATGGGAATACTAAAAGTTAAAAGGTGCAGGGGTGGCAGACAATTAGAAAAGGACAGAGAACACTCTAGATGTCTGTCATGCATAAACAACACCTGCTCCAGTTCCTTCCCCAAAGAAAAGAAAAATATTAAAAATAAGAACAGGTCTCGCAAATGGTGTAATTGCTTATTAGTGTGTATATTCCATGGCTGAGACCAGTGGTAAATTAACTCCTACTTCATTTACTGTAATGTTGGGATTAACTGCACATGGGATAATAACCCATTTTCCTGGAAAGGCTTCTTGGAACTAAATATCTGGTGTGTGCTTATGTACTTCTTGCTGTGAAGTGTGCTTTGCTCTGTGTGCTGTGTGAGACAAAAAGAGATTTATGACTTTAATTTCACCTTTTTCACTCCTTTTAGGAGTTTCTTTAAAGCTTTTTCACTTATCGGAGAAACTCAGGAACGAGAGAGAGTTTTAATCCACTTCTCCAGCAGATACTACCAGTGCAACCCAAACACCATTTCTTCTCAAGGTAACTTTGTTTCTGATATGAAGGTCTTTGGTTGTCTCCCTCATCCTTCATTCTTGCCTTCAATAGCATGTATGGTGTGTGCCTGGGGAAGGTGTGTAATTGCCGTGCCACACTTGAGCGTGCCTGTGGTGAGCAATGAAACCCTCCAGGTTCTCCACACGTAATCGTGGTAAGGCAGTGAAAAATCTGTATTCATCCCCAGTCAGGAAAGGTGCTTAGGCCTCCTCAGTGTAAATCCTCAGCTGTAGCATCTCCAGATTTGAATGTCCTCATTTGTGGTTTCTGGTCTCGCTGACTTCCACCATGTGTGGGTACCTGTACGCTAGCTACACGCATGTGGGTGAAGATAGGTCCCATCTTCAGTGGAAGAGAAGCTGTTTGCTTTCCATGCTCCATTCAGTGCTTGCGTCTCTGCATGCACTGGCAGCAGGCATGCCAGTTCTTGCCAGTTGTGGGGGTGAATTTTGGGTGCTGTATCCAGACCCTGGCATGGTTTCATTGCGACTAGCTGACATCAGCCGGAGTGCTGCCTCCTTGCCAATGTTTTCAGTCATTTTGGAAATGGATGGGGGAAACAAACAAGCACACAGGTCAAACCTGAGAAAGTTGGCATTGGAGAAGAGGACGAAGTGTCCGCTGGCGTAGCTGCTGCGTTCAGCCAGCTATGCCGGCAGAGGCATGCAGCCCTGACTGCAGTGCGGGCTGATCACACGCTGAGAAAGGGAGGAGGGCGAGAGAGAAAATAAGCACGGGCTAAGCTGTGCTGTTAGTCTCAAGTGTAAGCGAGAAGGAGCTGCTACACTTGGAGCTACTGCCACACTTCCTTGCCCCTTGCTTTGTGACCGGTCCCCGTTGCAGTGAGGTGATGTTTGTCCACTTTGCATCGGTCAGCTTTACTGGCTGGCATGCCGAGGAGGGGAATAGCAGTAAGACAGGATATGCTCCCATGCTATCTCTGTCCTTTGTAATGCCTTTCTTGTTTTGAGACAACACAGGCCGTCAGGCAGAGTAGGTGTGTCACATCCAGACTGAAATAATGACTGGCATATTGATGTGGCAGCCTTACTCTAGTCCAGGGTGCAGGAGGGACGTTGCCACTTCTGAGCCTGAGTAAGCATTTAGATTAAAGTGAGTCCTGCAGTCTTTGCCCAGGATTCTACATAATTTTGATTCTGTATTTCTGCTGTCAGTAGTCAAGTGCTACGCTGCAGAAATATGGTGGTTGTTCCTTTCGATGGAAATCCAGGATTGCATTTGCCTTTCTCTTTTCCTCTTTCCCTTTTCCATCATCTGGATGCATTTGCAGTTTGCAAATGAGAGGACAGGCTACTCTAAAGAAATGCGTAGACCTGAGCTGGAGCGCCACAGCCCCAGATTCAAGCTGCTTCAGACTTACTACTGCTAGCGATAATAGTTCTTCTCTCATGTCATGCTTAGCTACGGTTCGGCCACATTGCTTGGGTGCTAGGGCCTGTACGAACATCGTAAGAAAATGTGGTCCTTTCCTTGGGGAACATCTTTTTGTGATGGCTTCATCTCACACAGATTCAAGCCTGTGGTAGTCACACTGAGTGTGAGATATATGTATCCTCATCCCCATTTCTCTTCCTTCACAGCACAGAGGGACCTGTCCGTAGTCATTATCTGGTCTCGGCTACGATAGTTTTTATGTACACCTCCCTGCAGTGTGTGCAAGTCTGATAAATGACTCCGTGTCTTTATGACACCCCTGTGAGAGAAGGGAAGGTGGCACCATGTGTTTATGAACAAGAGAATGGAGAAGGTATTTTTCCTAATGTGTTCCTAACGTTTGGAAACTGGCTAGAGGCATTTGGATTTTCAGAGGTGATAAATGGCACCATGGGCACTGTCACCTTTGTCTGGATTTGTGCATAGCCAATACACTTTGGGTATTAAAAGAGGTGCCTGGAAAATGAGGACTATGAAATTGGTGTCCTCTTTTGCAAATGATAGTCTACCTTGACTTTCACAAGTCTGCCACAGTGACTCCAGGGATGGAGCTAGGGATATAATCTGTCTCTTCTGGCTCACTGTTGAGGGCCTTTGCTACAGGACCACCTTAGAAATTGCTGGAGCACTTTCTACCCAATATGGAGCCAAGGCAGCGTAAATAGCTGACTTAAGTTCTCCAAAATTCAGTCTAATTGACCCCTGAATGAGGAAGGGGCCAGAGGAGGGGGAAAATAGGATACCGTGTTGTATCCACTCTGCATGGAAGAATGGGTGTATTTTACTCTTGCCTTTCTGAAATAAATGAAGAAGAGGGAGCTGATTCAGGCTGTGGTATTGGTATTGGCAAGCAACGGGTGACAGCGTGGTTTCCTGTCTAGTTTGTCTCATCCATGGGTGCTGCAAGATAGTTCTGACAGTCATTAAAAGATGAAAGAAAGGCTGTTCTGGCTTGGCAGCTGTAGGATGACCTCACTGTTCATTTATTTAATTATGTGTATTTCTTGATAAAACAGATTCTTATTAAGGGAACAGACTCAATTCAGCTATGAGGCTCAGTTTCAGCTGTTCTTAAAGGTCCAGTCATGGGTCTGCATGTGACTCTGCTTATGTCTCCTTCTGCAGATGGAGTTCACTGTCTCACGTGTGCCATGATGCTGCTGAACACAGACCTGCATGGCCACGTGAGTATGCACAGCTTTGTGTAGACTGCTCCCGTTGACTCTGTGCTTGGAGGGGGTGGTCTTCTGGTAGCACAGTCCCCTTGCTGGTGGCCTGCTCCTAAAGCAACCCTGCAGAGAGCAAACAGTGAGAAGGCTGCACTCCCAGGCTGTTGTCCTGGGCAGGGCTTTCTGGCATGCCCAGGTCAGTCATATGTAAGCTGGCATTGTGCCTGGCATTGCCATAATGTGTGAGGATGCTCCTTGTCCTCAGGCCCCTGTCTACCTGGTGTGCTTCCCATCCTTCACTGGTTACAGCAGGTGGCCCTGGCCAGGAAGCTGTGGTTGGGATTGGCTTCCCCTTTCCAAGACGTAAAACCATTTGGGAAGGCAAAAGAAAGAAGGGAGGTGAAGAGTTGCTGGGAAGGTCACAAGGGGAAGGTGATGTCTGCAGGCATCCAATTGCAGGGGGCAGATCTGGTGGAACCAGAGTTCTGCTCAGCCAGGTTAATGACAGGTGTGCCCAGGGCCAAGAGAGCAGAGGGGGGATGTGGACATCCTGAGTGGGAGCCCTGTGTTTCCCCGCTGCCTGCCCGGTGGAAATAATATGCCAGTTTGAGTCCTCTTAGTCACACTGGTACAGGGTGCCAGCAGCCCTAGGACATGTATTTCGGCACCCATGGTGCAATGTGCCTGCTGTGCATGGTATTGCCATGCTAACGGAAGGCTTCCTCTATCCTGGAGTCAGGATGGAGAGGGAAAAACACAGGGAGCATGGCATGGTAGCATGCAGGAGCAGTGGCTTCAGCCAGGTGGCTTTAGGGCTTCTCTCTGGCTGAGACCCTGCACTGCCAAGATGGTGGGTTGGGCAGCAGGAGATAGAGGCACCCTGGGTCTGTCTCCAAGGGCTGCTTGGCCCCTGTGGGCGCAGCTCTGTGGCGGGTGCAGGTAATGAAGCTGAGGCTTCCCCAGGGGTTTTGACGCCCACATCCCATTAACTGAATGCCTTTGTCTGAAAATTGTATAAGTGGGGGGGAAGGGAGTTGCTAAGAATTTTTTTCCCTGAAGGCTGAGCCTTCCCTGACAGGGTGAGCCGAGGTACGGGAACGTGCCCCAGTGTGCCTCTTGGCATACACCGCTTTTCTTGAGCACACCTGAGACTGCCTGCACAGGTATCCTGCTCCCCAGAGTGATGAGCAGCCCAGGGCACCTGCTCTCCAGCCTGCCTCGCATTGCAGTCCAGGGAGGAGATTAAATGGTTGTACATAAGCCTGACAGCATTTCCCAACACTCCCTGTGATGCTTTAGTGGGCCCTACTGTCTTCATTAGGTACTGGAATAAATGATCTGTCTCTGACCCATCATTGATGATGATGATTTGTAGCTGAAGCTAGGATGACTCTGGCTGTTGCAGTGTGTAACTTTGGAGGCTTATCCTGCTGGCAGTCATTAGTGTGGTGTTATATGTATGCAGCTGTAATGTTTGCCAGACTCCTGCATGTGTCTTTTCTCTGTCTCTCCCTCTCTCCCTGATTTCTTGTAATTTTGGTCTTCCTCTTATCGCTTTACATTTTTTCACATAGGTGGTAAGTTGGGCATTTTTGACTTGGAACGCAGCCCCTTGCAGATATACACTACTTGCCTGTTTCCTAGCAAAGATAATGCTCTGACCCATCCTTACCATGGTTCTGCTAGAACAGGAAGCAAATGAGTCACAGGGCTTGTCTACACTGAGCTCCATTTGTTGCTGACATACTGATCATAAGTGTGGACACTTTTATTTCACAATAAGCTCAACTGCTTGTAGGGCTGTAGTGCAGCTGCTCTGCCTTCAGTTCACAGTTTCCCTTAACTCTTGTAGACAAACTCTGACTTAGCCCTTTATTTATCCCAGTCTTGCCACATTTCATTCTCTCTTTAACTAAGTCATTTTTGCTAGCTGTGTCTTGGAGATGCATGCTTGCTTCTCTGCAGGGACATCATCACCCAGACTGTGATGCTAGAGACTTTTAAGGTATCTCTAGACTGCAAGGCACATCTTATGGAACCTGCGTGGCACTGTCTGGAGATGTTAGCTTTGGTCCTGGAGCAAAACAGCCATTCCTCTGCAATGCCACTTACCTCAGTGGATGAAATGAGCCACACTGCTGTTGGTTTTGGTCACCATGGGGAAGCTGCAAACTGCTGTGTGGAGGAAACAAACAGGAGCAGGCTGAAGTCTGTCTCAGGGAGGAAGGAAAGCATTTGCAGGTCTCCTAGAACATCTCCAGCCTGCACCCAAAGACTGCAGTTATGAGCTATGTTCTGGAAGCTTAGCAACCAGAGAGCCAGGGTTACAGCCAGACTGTGTTGTCAGGAGCCTTCCTGATGTGGGAAGCAGTGTGTCGTTCCAATGTTCCTGCCTGCCTTCCATCTGCTGGTCTGTGCTGGCCATAGGTTGCAGAATCTTCCTTTGTGGCTAGCTGAGGCTGACAGTCAAGGTCTGCAGGTTTTCCATCTCTCCCTGATCATAACACTATGGAAGGGAAGTAGAGGATGTGCAGTCCAAGCTGTCATGTAACTGTAACATCGAATGACCTGTATTACCGACTGGTGTGCTTCTTTGGGCTCCACTCCTGTGTTAACTTGGGCTCTTGCTCCTAACACAAGTCACTGTCTGCACATAAAGCTCTTCCACTGTATTTCTGCAGCCAAGGCATACCTTGACCGTGGAGAAGTCATCTTCACCCCCTTTTCCTGACTGGCAGCAATGGCATCCCCAAAGATACTGTGGTCATCACGGGGCCCTGTTTTCCCTCTGCCTTTACCATGTTTCACAGCTCATCCCAGGCTGCTTCCCTTTCCTCAGAACTCTCTGGGCTCCTTTTTCACCAACTCAGTGTTGTCATTGCTGCCCACTCATAAGGCTCGCTGCATGCCAAGCGTGGGACTTCTAGCACTTGGGGCATGCAGGGGACTGAATACTGACACCTTCTCTGAGGGGTGATGGAGACGTGGAGACTGTGGATCCAAGACCAGTTCAGGGCAGCCTCAAGCCTTCAAATGGAGCAGTTAGGATCCTACATGAACATAGCCATTCCTTTCCTGTTTGTGGCTCAGTTGGGCAACTTTCAGTCTGAGAATTAGAGAGAAAGAGAGAAAAGAGAGCAATCCTATGGAAATGTCAAGACAGCCTCAGCCTGTGAATCAGAAAAGATAATGGCTGCTCCTGGGCATCTTACTCAAACTCAGGGCAGTTGCAAATGGCAGAGAGCATTGGAAATCATAAGAGAAAGGTCTGGAAAGGGCCTCAGTCAGCTGTTTGCTTATGCCCCACATGAGGCTCAAGCAGAGCTTTTGCATCAGAGGCTGGCAGAGCCTCTGGAGGCATGGGGGTGTAAGGCACCATGTGGATACCAGGGAGATTTATCATCATCATCTTCATTACCCGCCAGTATTTAGCTGTTTTTCTTTTTGGATGGGTATGTGGGACTTGGGGTCTGAATGCACCTTCCCTTTTCTAACTATATTCACACAAGTATGCTTGTCTCTGAGTAATTTTGGGAATGCCTTCTTAGTGCTGCCTGCCTTTGGCTTAAATGAGAGTGGGGAGATGCAATTAATCGGGTGTTGCTTATTTATGTCATTTTCCAAAGCAGCATGAATATGAAGCTGTGTTTCTCTGCCATCCCTTCCAGAACATTGGGAAAAAGATGACCTGCCAAGAGTTCATTGCTAACCTCCAGGGGATGAACAATGGCAAAGACTTCCCGAAAGGGCTGTTGAAGGTAAGGAATGATCTGCAGAACATGGGTTTCATTTTTAGTGAGAGGTGGTTCAAAACAGAATGCACTGCTTGCATTTTCTGAATCTTTACTGTCAAACACAAAAAGTGATGGGCACCTTTCTCCTCCCAGAACATATATTATATATACGCGGTGTTTATTCTGTTGTTTTCCCTCTTGCCTTCGCTTGATTGTGATTGAGACTCTGGGTAGCGTGGAGAGGTGAGACTGAACTCCAGCAGGGCCAGCTCCAGAGCTGTGTGTCTTGTAAGCTCATACAGTCATGCTGTCCCAGAGTGCTGTCTGCTGATTAAAGCGGACAGAAGCAGCCAGTTGGTTCTGACTATTGAGTACCTAAGGGCTAATCTTGAGCTCTGTGTATCTGGAAGGAGTGTGTGTTTTTTCATCAAAGGTGCTTTGGGGTTTTCACATTAGAGCAGGAGATGTAATTTCAGATTAGAATGTGTCGTCTGGCACAGGCTGCTTTGCTTCAGGTTTTGTTCATTAAGTTTGTGCCAGGAGTTAAATGTGAAGAACAGGGAAAGAGGCTGAGCAGGATGAATCTTGTTTCATTGTCAATAATAATGAGACTGTTTAATTTCTCTTTTGTCTGATTGCTGGCATGAAACAGCAGTCTGTTTGAATGAAGAGAGGAGCACATATACTAGAGTTCATAATATTCTTTTTTTGTAATGGAAGTAAAAATGAGTGGTTGCTGCATCTGAGAGCTGACCCAAAGCCTACCGATGTAAATCAAAAGAATTACCGTCTCTTTGGTGGGTTTTGTGTCAGGCCTGTTGTGAGATGTGTATGTACCTGCATGGTTACAAGTGGCAGACTTTGTTTTCTAGTATTGGTAGGTTCTTCAGTTTCTCCAGCCTTTTTGGGGAGGTTCTTGTTGGGTCCTCCTGCCTCGGTTCTTACTAAGGAGTTAGGAATATAAGCTCAAGCCCCTTGTTTTTAGATTTAATGTCTTTATTTTTTAATACAGGGTATTAAATGGATAGAAAGTATTCATCTGTCAGCAGCAATGCTTAATTTTTTTTTTCCCCAAGGAATCTCATTTCTCAGTCTCCCATAGAGAGTTGTGTTGAGATTAATTTGAAGGCTAATTACAGCCCTTATTGAATAAATAGGTCTCCAGACTCTGTTTAAATAACCTTCTGAGTGTACTGACGAGAGACTTCCACTGGTGCTCACCTGCTGTTTATTTTTCTGCTGACAGAATTATGCGGTTGGGGCTGTATCTTGGTGTTTAGTGCTTACTTGCTAATGCTAAGGCTGCCTGGCTTTTCGCCAGCCCACCCAAAGCAAGGACGAGGACTCAGGATTTTTTGGATGTAGCAGGATGGAAGAAACTCGGTGCTGGTGTCCTGCCTTGTTTGAGGCTTTCCGCCCTTTTCTGCGTGCTGCCCTGACATCTTGGGGACAGAGGTGGCATGCAGCCTTGGTCTCTCATCTGGCTTGTCTGAAGATTTGCCGATGATCTGCCCCTTGTTGTTTTGATTTATCAGTGGAGGGGAATGGAGCAACTGGCAGTAATTGTGCATTTCAGTAGCTACATCACTGTGTCCGCAGCAGCCACACTGCCACTATTTACGCGATTACAAAGACTTAGCAGAAATTAAATTTGCATTAGTCTCAATAAATTAAATTCAGAGCCCTGTTTCAGCACAGCGCCGAAGTGCATATGGCTTGCTGGTGCATTAGCAGTGCTAGTTAAGGAACATCGATCGGTGAGGCTGCGAGCCATCTCCCCGTGTCCTTCCCCATGAGCCAGGGAGAGGAAGGACCGTTTCCACGGGGTGGCAGTGTGTCCCCGTGGGAGGAGGTCCTGGGCACCCACCGGTGAGGGATGCAGAGCTGTGGGGAAGCAAGTGGGCTTTTCTGCCTCTCCAGTCTTTCTGCATTCCCCTCGTGGCTCTGCTGCAGCCCTGTGTGAAGCTCTGCCAAGCCCCGGAGCACAGCTGAGTGGTGCTGGAGGGGAAAGAAGAGGGGGGAGACCTTAGCAAGTGCTTATTTGCAGGTAGTGTTCACCCAGGGCTTGGGCAGCTCTCTGTAGCATTTACCATGGTCCCAGTTCACGGAGTCAGGGGTGCAAATACTGCCTGGGCTATCCAGGATGGTCAGCTGAGAGGCAGAAATCAAACGTCAGTCCCATCACCCTTAGTGCTACTGAGCGCAGAGTGCGGCCCTGAGTGTTTCTTTTGCCTGGATAGGAAGATAGCCCTTCAAGGGGCAGACATCAACATGTGAGGAGGGACACTTCTAGCTTCTGTGTGATCAGCCTCAGAAAATGTCCGACTGAGATCTGATTGCACCTTTCTCTCCAATCCCGTGAGGGAGCCATCAATTTGTTAATTTTTTTTCCCAACAATAGGGACACTTTGGTAAACACCAGAAGGCCTTCAGGACATGATTCTTGGTGTGTCACTGACAGTGCTTTCAGAATAGAGATTTTACTGTGGCTAGAGATGGAAATGAGAAATGCTAATATGAACTTGCTCACCTTGTATCTTTCTGTCTGTTCACTAATACTGAGAAAAGTTTTGCTTTTGTACACCCATCTGCACAAAGATTCAGCTCTTTTTCTTCTTCATCATTGCTTTTGTCAGATCTGAGGTTGCTTTTAAAGTTGGGACCCATAAAGGCAAATACACCAAACTGTGATTAAAAGCATAGTTCTCCCCATGGGATCTGCTTGCAGTATTCATATATTCAGTACTTTGCCAGGAAGGCAGATATATGTACCTTCCCTTTTATTCCATCTTAGCTCCAGTTCAACTGTCTGTCACACATCTCATTAATCTGCCATCGCCTGCTAGTAAAGACTAGAGATGGAGACAGTAGCCTGATTTCCAGTTATGTACTGTCAGTGCATGCTGACCTGAGAGCTCTAGTTTGTACTTACTGCAGAGTTCTGTATGCCTTCAAACTGGGGCAAATTCCTTGTAAATTAGAACCAGCATCCCAAGCTGTGTTTCTCTTCTCTGGTGTAAATCAGGAGCATCTATCTCTGTGGGTCTGGCTGGTGTAGAAGGTGAGTCAGGTCTGTTAAATCCAGGCAGTTTAAGGCTATTGAAAGTGAAAAATCTTCAAAAGCAAGAAAACTTTTTGAAACTCCCGTCCTTTGACTCTGAGCTGTCACACTCCAAGCACACAAATAATTTTATATTGTATCAAGCTGTGATCAGGCAAGGTGATCCTGAATTTCAGCCTTGATCTTATACTTCCCTGTAGCAAAGGTCCCTTTGTCCTGGTGAGTTCAAGCCATGGAAGGAGTGCTAAATACCAGGAGCTGTGACAGCCCATGTCCTAGTCAGTGCAGTGGTACTCTGCTATGGATGGGCTCAGTGCTCGCTCCTAAGGCTGATGGTGAATCACACATTTACCACCATTTACAGGTGGGGACAAGTGAGAGGTTTACTGAGACTGAGAGAGACAAAGGGACCCAGCTGCACTGCTCATCTCCTCAGAGCAGATGTACCTGACATCCTGGATTAGCTGCCACAGACGCTTCTGCAGACAATGAGGGAAGCTGGAGGAGAGGTGCAGCACTACCATGACTGAGAGCAAGCAGAACATCAGAAACAATTAAAACAACTAAGTCCAACCTGTGGGTCGTTAGCCTAAGAGAATCACGACCAGACCATTGTTCATTTATTCCTGTAGAAAGGGAGGCCATGGCTAGGGTTCCCCTACTTGGAAGGGAAACAAAATCAGTCTGGGGCAATGCCAGGAACCTCATGACTACAGTGTAGGAGCAGTTTATCTGCAGGCTGGTTCCTTCCTCCTCTGCTCACACCAGCTTTAATCTGGTACAGTGATACCATCTTCACTGATGATACTCTGGGTTTGCATTATGTGACCATAGCTTTCTTCAAAGGTGGGGTTCACAAGATTGTCTGCAATGAGAAGAGGAGGAGATTGGCTTGGGAAGAGCCTAATTTTGGCCATGCACACTTGCTTCATTTCCTACAGGCGGTGTGGTCCCCACAAATAAAGTGCTGGTATAGTGCTGGCCACTGTGTCTTCCTCTTGTCACCTTGTGGCAAGGCATGTGCGACTCTGCTCCAGCAAGGTGGCAGTGATGAGACCTTTCTTATGCAAGGAGAGAAAATGCCTGCCCCAGCCCACAGAGAGCCTGCAAGGAGTCACCTCTGAGGAAATGGATCCCTGCTTTTGTTAGGCAGCATCCTGGGAAGTGTACTCTGTCGTTAGGCTGTATGCTAAGTACCACCTGCCTGTATTGTCCTGCATAAGTAAATGTCCTCTGCATCTGCGATGTCCAAGGTACTTCATTCCTGGAGTCAAGGGCATCACCCAACCTCTGGTGTGGGCTAACTCTGGTGGCTGTGCTGCCCCATGGCATGAACACTGGATGCAACAGGGTTGTACCTGGCTGTGTGTGTCTTCTGGTAGGAGGTGGTAGCTCTTTGCTGACCCGTGGTGCTGGCAGGGATCCTCTCTGTCTTGCTGAGGGACCTGGGATGCTCTATGGCGTCTTTGCTAGAGCCATCCTGGCAGGGGCTGCTGCTGGAGATAAGATACCAGTCCTGTGTAAAAGGTCTGCTTTTTCTCAAAGGCTGTTTTTTGGCTAGGCCTTATCTCCTGGAGAAGCACTGTAATGAAGTGACCAAATTAAGTGGGAGTTGCTGGACTCTTCTGAAGAACCACTCCTCCTTAATTTCCTAAATGATGTGAATTCTTGATCAGGATTGCTGGGATATGCAATTTCCTATAGAAGCTGCAAGGTAGGGTTTATCTTATTTTGCTGTCAGTTCCCTGCACTTTAATTAAGGTTTTTTTTAAATTTTTTTTTTTTTGCCACTGTCTTTCTGCCGCCCCCCCGCCCCGAGCCCTCCAAAGCAAACACTCAATTTAAAGAGAATTACTGGCATCTTGCTTCATCCTTTCCAATCATTTCAGGTGTTTAGTGGAGAGAAGGGAGTGAGCATCAGGTGGTTAACTCCTCCCCTACCCC